GGGAGGGAGGGAAGGAGGGCGGTGAGGGGGATTGAAAGAAAAGAAGAAAAAGGAAAAAAAAAGGCCAAGGAGAAAAGAAGGCAGTCCGGAACAATAAAGCGGGCGGTGGGAAGTGCCCAATGTGCGGCCCCTCAGGCCGGGCGCGGGTCCCCCTCAGGCATGGCTAGCGCTCGCCATGAACAAGCTCCAACCGCGAGAGGGAGCGGGGAGAGCCGGTCCTTTCTCCTCCTCCTCTCCTTTCTCTCTTTGGCGCGCGCGGAGGGGGGGGGGCGTCCTCCCTGGTCTTCCCTTCGCCTCTCCTCCTCGTTTCCTTGTTGAGGTGGGCGCCGTTGCGGTGGCTGGTTTTTATCCCCCGCTTTCCACCCGCGTCTCCTCCCAGCCTCTCCCGCTAGCTGCTAGGCTGAACTGGCAGCTCCTCTCCCACCGCCCCCTTTAACAGCAGCCAGGCCATTCTCCAGGCGCCCTCTCATTGGTCGCTCCGGCCCATCAATCCGAGCCTTCCCCACCCTAGATGGGCTAATCGCTACTCGCGAGTCTCTGGCTCCGATCCGCCTCTTCTCTCTCTCCCTCTCTCTCTCCCCCCACTCTCTTTCGCCCCGGGTAGCGGGCAGCGGTCTCCAAATCCCGGTGGGCACCTCCTCCCTCCGAACCAAGGCGAGAAACAGGCAACCTTTGGATCAGAGGGCAGAGAGAACAAGCTGGCGGGGAGAGGGAGGAGGCGATCGGAGACCGCTGCCCGCAACGAGCGCCGGCCACAGCTTGAGAAGGGAGCAAAGAAGTAGGACCTCTCCGGGGACTTCAGTTCCCCCAGGAGAAAAGAAGGGACCCCGTCACTCTGAACTTTCAAGGGGTGGGGCAGGAGGCTGGGGAAGCGGCTGGCCAAGAAGGAAGACCCGCTAGTAGGAAATGGCTCGGCGAGAAGAGGCAGGCAGCGGTAGTCCTCTTCGGAAGACGCCCTAGGGCTTGGCCGAAACCGACGGGGGTTCCTAAGCCACCTCCCCTCCCTTCCCAGGAGATAGGCTGCGCGGAAGGCTCGGGTGCAAATTGATAGAGATGTCTGCGTCTTGTGTCAAGGAAGAGAGAGGGCCGGTTGGGGGCGGCCAGGAGGGGGCAAGGCAGCTGGCAGCACGTCGGGGAGGCCAGCGCGGAGAGGCAGGCAGGCCTTGCAACCTGGCGTTGATAGATCCGTGAGCGCGCGCGCGCGCGTGTGTGTAAGAAGGAGCGAGATGAGAGGAGCTGGGTCAAAATCGGCTGTCGGTTCTTGGAAGGAGGTGAGGGGACCGAAATCGACCAAAAACATCCTGTGAAAATTCCCAATATTCGCTACTACCAGCAACGTAACTGGATTACGTTATTTTGTGTAAATTGACCCCACAAAACAGCAATCTTGAAATAAACAACAACAGTAACAAGAAGTAATGGCGCCATCTTTTCTCTTCCATTTAGCAAAAGAAATAACCCGCTTGTGCGGCTCTAGAAAATCCGGAAAGCAGTTCTTCCTTTGAAATTCCATTTATTTTATGAAGCTACAATTCTACAATCGCAGAATTCTGCAATTCTTATGTTCATATTATTATTNGATCCGCTTTCCCCGCGGCCACCATCCATCCTCCGCCCCTCCCCGCTTTCTTCCTCCTCCGTTCCGACTGACCTGTGTGCGTCCTTTTATGGATCTTGAGGTTCTCGGAGCGGGCGAAGACCTTGCCGCATCCCGGGAAGGGGCAGGGGAAAGGCTTCTCGCCCGTGTGCACGCGGATGTGGTTGACCAGCTTGTACTTGGCCTTGAAGGGCTTCCCTTCGCGCGGACACTCCTCCCAGAAGCAGATGTGGTTGCTCTGCTCAGGACCCCCGACGTGCTCGACGGAGACGTGGGTGACCAGCTCGTGCATGGTGCTGAAAGTTTTATTGCAACTCTTTTTGGGGCTGCTGAGCTGCTCCGGGTCGATCCACTTGCAGATCAGCTCCTGCTTGATGCACTGCTGGCGCATGTAGCGGAAGAAGGCCCCGGGGTGGTGGTGGTGGTGGTGGTGATGGTGGTGGGCGTGCGGGTGGGCGTGCGGGTGGTGAGCGTGGTGTGCCGCCATGTTCATGCCCATGTTCATATTCATGGGGCCGTATTGGCCGTGCAGCTGGGCCGCCGAATAAGGATCAGTTCGGGGACTGGACACCTGCCGGTACTGATCCGACCGACCGAAGACTTCTCCGGGTAAGCCCAAGCGCATCTGCCCGTTGAGTACGTTGGGGGAACCGGGAGCGCCATGCTGATCTCCGATGCCCGGGAAGAGCAGGTGGCTCTGCGCCTCCGCGTGCGGATGGTGGAGGCTGCCGGTGGCCGCCGCTGCCGCCGCCCCAAAAAGCCCGTGCTGTCCGCCGCCGCCCGCCGTCGGCTCCCCGAAGCCTCGGCTCCGAAACAAGAAGTCCCGCGGGGAGTTGAAAGGCGGCCCGGAGTAGGAACCGACATGGGCGGCGTGCGGGTAAGCCGGCGCCTGCGAGCTGAAAGCCGAGCCTTGCCCCGGGGAGAGCTCGTGAGCCGCCGCCGCTGCCGCCGCGTTGAGCTTGAAGGCCCCCAGGTGAGCCGCCGCCGCCGCCGCCGCCGAGTCCACGAAGCTGTTCTGCAGGCTCAGTTCGCGCTCTTGCATCTCCGCCGCCGACGGGGGCGGGTGCCGGGCGAACGTGCCCACTCCCAGCGCGGGGAACTGCGGCCCCGCATCTAGCAGCATGCCGCTCAAACCCCCCTGCAAGGTCCGGGGCTCTGGGCTGCCGCCGCTGCCGCTGCCGCAGGAGCGAAAGGAAGAACGAAGGAACGGAGCTGCCGAGGCGAGGTCCAGGCGCAGGCGGCGACCCGAAGGCTATGAAACGGCTGAGGCGGGGGTGGGCCGGCCGGCCGGCAGGCGGGAAGGGCAGCCCTGAAGGCAAAGAGCAGTCCGGGGAGAGGAAGGGGGCGAGAGAGAGAGAGAGAGAGAGAAAGAGGTGGGGGGGAGGGAAGGGTGGGGGGTCCCGCTTTTCCCTGGGAAAATAAAAACACAAGGCACACAAACCCCCGGCGAAGAGATGTCAGCGCCACAGTCACACCAACAGCCTCTCGCACACACAGGCGAGCAGCTATATAGGGAGCGCCGCGCGCCCTCGTTCGCGCGCACGCACGTACCCGGGGAGGAAAAGAAGTGCGCGCACGCGCGGGCGAAGCGAGAGTGGCGGCTTCCCCCCCCCCTCACACGCCACACGCTTCCCGAAAACAAACACGCCGTCCCTCCTCAGCCCCCCCTTCTCTCTCTCTCTCTCTCTCTCTTTTCGAGGCTCTCCCCCCACCGC